AGGTTGGTTCTGTGGGTTTTGAATAAACACAAATGTGCCAGAGCAAGCGTCTGAAATAGGGATTGGATAGCCGCCCTAATAGACGGGGTATATATATATATATATATATATATATATATATTTGGATGTATATGTCTATTCGTTCCACTGATGTAGAATTTTTTCCTTCTCTAATATGAGCGTTCCATCATTGGATTTTATGCAGCCTGTTGACGCGCCTGTCTTCAGTCCTGTTAGTTCCTTTATTTATTTATGTAGATCTCCTTTGTCTGTGGTACTCAATCTCTTTATTTTTGTACATTTTCGTTTATCCCCTCTTCTTTCGCCTACCTTCATTTGGTGCTTATTTTGTTCTATAGTTTTTTTCGTATTTCGTTCTGTATCTTGGCAGAGTTTTCTTTTTCCTTTGCATCATGTCAAGAATCTCATCTGTGATCTCTTTGTTTTTCTTCTTCATCCATTCTCCTTTGGGATGATATTGTTTCCTGATGTCACTAAAGTTTCTTTTAGTGAGTCTCATTTCAAGTTTCCATTTCCATTGTGTTCCTCGTATCTTCTTTGCCCAATGCCCATATATTTCCCTTCAGGTATGGGTCGCTCAGGAATTTGTTGTCTTGCAGTTTGGGTGCTGCGTTTGACTTCTTCATTTTCTGTAGTTTCACTCTTAATTAACATATAATAGAGCGATGGTCACTTCCACAGTCGGTACTTTGGTAGGTTTTGCAGTGAGCCATTGCATTCCTGAGTCTTTTGTTGATAGTTATGTAGTCAATTTGGTTTTTAGTTTCTCCTCCTGGCCTTATCCATATTCATAATCATCTTGGATGTTTTTGGAACAATTACTTGGTCATTAGCCGTGCATAATTGGACCCATTTTCTCCATGTTCGGTGTGGGTTCTTAGTCCGAATTTGTCAGTTATCTCCCCTTGTCTTATAATCCTTCACCTTGTCTAGCATGGAGTAGAAAGATTCGATTTCTTCTTCCTTACTTTGTGCAATCGGTGCATACACTATTATGATTTGATAGTCAAGCTGAAAGGAAAGCCTTTCAACGCAGCGTTGAAAGGCTTTCCTTTCAGCTTGACTATCGAATTCTTTTGGATAATTGGTAGTATCCCAGAACGCATTTCGTGAATTCTTGTAGTATCAATCCTACTCCTTTATCGTTTTTTCTTTCCGCCTGAATATATAATCCTCTGATTTCCACTGACAAAATCTTCAAAGTTTGGCCACCTAGTTTCACATATACGTAGGATGTTGATGTTTCGTCTAATCGGAAGAATGGACAACATCGAATGGCTACCACGATCACCTATCCTAACAGCAATGGTTTTCTTTTTTCGGTGGGTGGAGTAAAGAACAAAGATAAATGTAGTTCGTCTGAATATTTTTAATGAAAATAATGATAGACTAGTGAGAAGCTTGCAACTTTTGGTCTATGGGAAAGAAATTACAGGGTGGCAAATAATCCACCACCCACAACTCCACCTGGACACTTTTGGACTCTATCGTGAGTAGAAAATAAAAACTGGAAAATAATAGGAGGAGTGAAGTATATAGTGGAGCGGTACATGGAACTGGGCATTTTTATAGCATCTTTGGCATTATATCGTATGTAGAAATGTTGGGTGCCTTGGGTGAGCATAATTTCCAATCGGCTTTCAAGGCAAATGTCCACATTGAGAAAACTTCCGTTCATTGCGATAGACGAAAAAAAATCAAAAAATGTTTGTAAAAAACAAAAAGATATTGGTGATAAGACTGGTTTAAAAAAAACAACAACAAAAACATTGAAAACAAGATTATTAATACATTATTAGAGTTTATTATACAGGGTGGACCAAAAATAAGCTTACAATTGTTTCAATATTTGTTTCACGTTTCCACAGCTCAGAACCAGAACTAACTTCGTCGAGCTGTTCTTTCAGTAAAATGGAGCATCTCCTCATTATATGACGTAATGAATATGCATAAACCTGGGTTCCTCCTCACAGTAATATGATTGGCTGGTGTCAGCCATAAATACAGGCTGATGTGGACGCCTATTGACAACGCCTATTGGCTAAGCATATAGTCTTCGCCTATTATCTACGCCTATTGCCTACCACTACGACGAGGACCAGTCCATTGCGGTTACCTGCTAGATTGTCCTACTCGGTTACAGTAGTCTAAAACAACTTTGCTCCTTCGAGCAAATACATCCATTTCCGGAACATATCATTATGTTTTGGCGGCAAGGGACTACATTAACCAAAATTTTCCAGCAGCGTTTTTTCGGAAGAAGAGACAGTATCGAATGGCCACAACGTTCACCTACCACCAATCGATTTCTTTCTTTTTTTTTTGCTTGGTTCTATTAGACATGGTTTATGAGAGAAATTCCCACATAGTGAAAGAATTAAAAGAGTACATCACAGAAGTATTTATTCAAATAGATCGGAATTTGTGTTGTGCTGTGTATCATAGTATTCTGAGGAGGTTCGAGGAAAGATGCAATATTGAAGGAGGACATTTTGAACACTTAAGAGATTAAACTCTGCTAAAAATATAAGTAAAGTGTTAAACAAATGTACATAAATAGTTTTGAACAAATATGATTGTAACAAATAAATACAAATGTATGCAAACTGCATACCTTCAAAGTGAATAGCTATTTCTATATATTTATCTTACAGATCCCAAAATTCCACCTGTCACGATAAACGGGTATTCTCCCAGGGACGTCCCGTATCTTGTGTGCCTATTCGGACTTAACCTTAACCTAGACCTAAAGTGGAACAAGATCCATTGCAATCCAAAAGATGCTGGAAAGACTGTCGGTTCCCTGAAACACTCTAGTAAGTATCTGACTCCTCCTGTTTCTCTCTACCATTTCAAGATACAGATCAGGCCGAAAATGGAGTGCTGCTGCCGTATTTGGGTAGTAGCTGCCTAGTCATCACTTTCTAGTCTCGATAGAGTTTAAAAGCGTTTCCGTGTCCTTGTGGGTAACAAATTATTTTCCACCCTACAACCTCTTTCCCACAGACGAAACGTCTCAAGCCTCTCTCTGCTCTATTCCAATTCTATGGAGAGCGCTCAGACAAATAACATTCCTTAGTTCCAGCACGTCTAATCTTTATGGCTAAGACCCACCATGTCACGCACATTGTAGCAACCCTCATTCCTTTCGTATTCCATTGGCGAAATGTAAGTTCTACTCGAGCAACTTCTTCCCACCAACCTCTGCTTTGCGGAACCGACTCCCAAGTGGATGCTTCCCCGTTCACTACAAGTTTAACCTGTTCAAGTATTAACCCATATCTTCCCCACTTATCCCTATAAACTGTGCTTCTTTTTCTGTAACCCTCTACCACAAGTGACTCTTGAGCCTTGTACAGGGCGAACATCATTGTGAAAAAAAGAACCACTTAAAGACTAAGTGAAGGCAACTATCTTTCATAAGAAGTCATGGTAATTTAAACGTATTAAAGGAAGATGTCGATGGCCATGTTTGATTACATTATGAGGGGAGATAAAATTAAAAACAAACAAAATGTTTTTGATTTTATTCGGATTAGGTAGATTTTTTCACACGGTTGGTTGCCATTTCTTTCTGCGGTAGACCAGTTGCCATCAAAGGCTATAGAACCCGTTTGTCCTGATATTTACTTATAGCTGTGGGGAGAAGAAGAGGATTCCTGCCTTTCCCAAGGGTAATAGCTCGTAAGTGAATGTAATGGATTCGACTGGAGTCTGCAATTCACAGATGCATTGGATTCACTCCGAATGTCATCAAAATACACGGAATCTTGATGGGCTGGTGATAAAAAGGGAAACCAATTAGAGAGGCAATTAAAAATTTTTTTCAAATATGACGCCATACAAAAAACAACCCTGTCACAAATGGTTAACCGCTGTTTGCCAATGGATTCTGACAAAAGCCGACTTGAAAAAAGGATTTCGGTTGGCTGTTTAGTTTCTATGCGTCATTTAATGCTGTAATCTTAATATTTTTACGCAATATTATTTTTTTGGAGATAATAATTGTTTTAGTGATGCAACTCTTACTAATTAACCCATAGCGGGGGTAGAAGATGTCTTTCCCAAGGTGGTAGAAGATGTCTTTCCCAAGGGCATTTAACCATAAGTAAATATAACGACCCCAAACTGGAAATCGCTTCTCTGATTAACAATTCCGGGCCATTATCCATTACACTACCCGCATATTCAAGTTTACAAGACCCAGTATAACCAAGCGATCACCCATCTTGATTACGCTCGACATTGCTTAACTTCGGTGATAGTACGGGAAGCGGTGTTTCAATGTGATCTATCTGTAAGCGTTGGGGTCAATGCGTATTTACTTCTTACGCTTCTGTGAATTATAAGATTTCAAACACTTATTTTCAAGGACAACGGGACCTCTTCATTTGAGTGGTTCCAGCAACATATTCTTCTTATGCTCACTTTTACGCCATTTTAAACTTGTGCTGTGCTAAAGTCAGTTTACTAAATACCAAAGATGTGTATGTTTTTCCGTTCGGAACAACCCGTTATTTGTAGGGTGTTGAACGCCTTCTTCAGTTGTCTCATGAACTCAATAAGACAGCTGGAATTATATACATACACAGATAAAAGAAATTAACGAATAGACATATAAATATACATACAAAGGTATGTTAACAATATTGACAAAGAAATTAACGAATAGACATATAAATATACATACAAAGGTATGTTAACAATATTGACAAAAAAAAAAAAAAAAAATGGAAAGAAAATCAGGCATCAAAGTGAGCGAAACTCTCCCGCCTAAATTATCTGCTTGACGAAGAAACTAAACAAGACATTAATCTTTTCTCTTTCTATGAGCAAAACGAAAGATAAGACTTGTGGAAAGAATTACGATGAATATCATTTACCAGCCTCAGGAAATTCCATCCATTGATCGGAACGGTAGCGGTAGAAATGGGAGTGTAAACTTCAAAACGAGATGGCCAGGTATTTGTGACTATCCAATGATTTCTTTTTCGCTAGAATTTGTCCCCGTTTACGAACCCGTGCCTATATTTGATTGCCTTAATCAAATAAAGTCCACAGGTCTTTTTTTGCTTAGTATCTTTCCCATGATTTCGTCTCTTCTTCTTGCTAGTCTCGTAATTACCTAATCCCGCGAGACAAGCAATCTCGTCGAGAACTGTAATTCGTCTTTATATAAGATGAACGCACTATTTTTTCTTTTGTTACAGCAGACAGGAAGAGAGACGACCCAAGAAAAAGTACAGATAAAAATATGCCAAAAGAAAACAAAACAAAAAAAAAAAAAAAAAGAAAAGTAAGAAGAAGAAATAAGAATGAGAGGAAATGTAAATAGAATTGTACATAATTATTAAATTTTTACTAGCTTTTTGAAAATTCTATTACTCATTTCACGAACGTTGAAAAATGTTTGTTTCCGGTGAGATTGGAACTAGTGCTCACTAACCTTGGTTTCTATGAGATGGATTTAACCTCTGTATAGGAATTGGTTATGACACATTTAGTATAGAAGATAAGGAAATTAAACATAGAAGCGGCTGTTCTACGGCTGGTTTTGTCCAAGAGGGAAGACGCACTCAGTGCCATGCGTGATACACGCTTAGGCGATCATGTATCTTTTGATACATGACTGACGAGCCACGCGCAGTATGTTGCCATTTTTTCTGAGGTAGACCAGTTGCCATCCAAGGCTATAGAACCCGGTCTGTCCTGCTATTGACTCACGTCTGGGTGGGGGGAGAAGAAGAAGAAGATTCCTGCCTTTGCCAAGGTTATTAGCACGCAAGTGAATGTAAAGGATTCGACCGGAATTCGAACTTGGCTCTCCGATTCTTCCATCCGAGTCGCTATTCACTACTCCACCGTATGCAACAAAGCCAAAGCATAGACTTATTATTATTAATTTTTGATTATATTTTATTTTCTAACATTTACTTATTTAATAGTAATATAAATCGCTCTTAAATTATTTGGAATTTTAGATGAGGGCTTGTTATTAAATTTTTTGACTATATTTTATTTTCTAACACTTATTAATAGTGAGAGATATCGCTCTAAAATTATCTGGAATTTTAGACGACGCCTTATTATTATGATTATTAATTTTGACATTTTGTTGTTTTATCTTATTTCTATACCTGTTTATCGTAATATTCATATGGTAACACATAGACTCATATATACAAGCATCTATATTTAGGTCGGAAATTTTGTAAAGATAAATATCCTTATTTATGTCTTTTTAATTGGATCAAAATTTGCATCTTGATTTATACTCATACGCTCCTGGTCAAAATATTATGATCAGATACAAAAGGGTTAAAAATATAAATTACTGTTACTTTAATCGAAATATATTTGCGAAACATTTATATTTAATTAGAAAATATATATCAACAAACAAGTAAAAATTTTAAGCTTTTAATTGTATAATTTAAACAAACATTGAAAAATTAGTTTTTGGTTGGTCATAAAGATAAGACCATGTAAATAAAATTAGAAAATACAGAACAATTAAGTCACAACGATAATTTAATATTCAATATATCCTCCATTTTTGCGAATTACTTCGAAAATACTCATTATTAACTTCTGCATAAGGGTGTTTGGGATGCTCGCCCAGGATGAATAAACTGCAGCACGAAGAGCATCCACAGTTTCAAGTTGTGATCTATGTTTATAAAAATCCTTTACAATTCTCGATTGGGTTTAGATCTGGAGAGCACGGTGGATGACTCAAAAGCTGAATGTTGTTTTCCTTAAAAAATTCCTTTTACCTCCGAGCGATATGGATTGCAGCATTGTCCTGCTAAAAAATCCAGTTTTATCCACATAGATGAGGGCCTTCAGTAATTAGCGATGCCTTTCTTAACATGTCAATGTAACTAGCAGTCGTTTGGCGACCTTTTCGCTCCTGTAACTCAAGACTTCCCTAGACCATAATTGATCCACCTCCACTGTGTTGAGAAAATTTCTTTTGGGACATCTTTTTCATGACAGTAAGGCTGAAAACCGTCTGGGCCATCAAGATTGAATTTTTTCTCGTCTGAATACAACACCTTCTTCCATAACCTATGTTTGATAATCGGTATGAAATTGTAAACGTGAGGATTTTATCTTATTTAAATGCCATCGAATTGTTCGAGAGATGCATTCAGCATCTGTATTCGCTTTTACCTGATTTAGGCTTGAATCTCTCTTTTTACTTCTCGCCTAATCTGTCTGTCTAGAGATGGTGAGGTTTTATTGAGGCGACGGCTTGCTTATTTAGAAGCATACGCATCCGGATATTTAATGAAGTTAGCAATGACAGTTCTGCTATGGCCAATTTCATTTGCAATGGCTCGTTGTGAAAGACCACGTCTTTGAAGTTCATCAATCCTGCCATGTTCAAACTTTGCTAAAATTTTACCCTTAGCCATTTTAAAATCTGAAATGTAATGCTGAAAATGAGCTAAGTAGATGTCCACATCCCTGAAGCAATGAGCACTCTGACTAGTTCTAAAAGTTTTGTTTAGTATTTTTTTTCACACATGGTCTTATCTTTATGAGCAACCAAAAATACTTTTTCAATGTTTGTTTAAATTGATCAATTAAAAGCTTAATTTTTTCACTTGTTTGTTGATAAAGTACATTTTCTAGTTAAATGTAAATGTTTCGCAAATATATAAATTGTATTTTATATTTTTTTAACCCTTTTATATCTTAAGATTTTGACCAGGATTGTATATTGCAGCAGTCACTTGTCTCTAAACTGGAGACACAAAAATCAAACACGTGCAATAATTTAAATATCTAGAAAAGTGTTTTAACCAAGGATGAAAAAGGCGACGTCGAAATCTGAAGGCGCGTGTTGGGATAGCGAAAGGTGCTTTCCAAGAGTTAACCCTTTGACCCCTGCGTTCCTGAACAATTTTACCCTTTCTGCCTGAGCTCCTGAGTCAAAATTCGCAAACAATTGATATGTAATACTTCACGGTTTATATAAAAATAGTTACAAGTGGTTACCCACAGTTCAACCAGTAGCTGGGTATTAAGTCAGTTTTTTCTACCACTGTTCAACCGGTGGCTGGGCATTATGTTATTTTTCTCTACCACTGGTAAAACGGTGGCCAGAGCTGAAAGGGTTAAAATGGAAATGACATGGTGTCTGCAGCAAAGAGAAAGAAATATTATAAGCAATTAGACATTGTAAGGATGGACAATTGCGCATCCAATAGGTTCATGATATCATCAACACTACAGTTCCAGAAAGTCAAGGAGAGCTGTCACCAAGTAGCTAGAGGTGACAGAGCATATGATCAGAGATGTGGAGCAAGAGAACATTAGGTACAAATCTCATATTATAGGAAAATACTTCATATCTAGAAGCACAATGTGACCTGATTTGAATACCTTTTACTACTGATTTTGGGGGTCATCGTAGTGAAGGGGAGCTTAACCCTTTGAACCCTGCGTTCCTGAACAATTTTAACCCTTCTTGCTTGAGCTCCTGAGTTAAAATTCGCAAATAATTGCTATGTAATGTTTCACGGTAGATATAAAAATAGTTACAAGTGTTTACTCACCGTTCAATCGGTGGCTGGGCATTTTTCTCTACCACCAATAAAGCGGTTGTCAGGGCTAAAAGAGTTTAGGAAAGTGTTAACAAGCAGGAGAGTTTCATTGAGAAACAAAAGAAAAGAATACTGAGCTGTTATGTAATATCAGTTCATCAATATGACGGTGAATATTGGACAATCTCTTCACAGATGTAGAAGCAACAGAAATGTGCTTCTACAGAAGGATGCTGAGAATACCATAGACTGAACAGATGAGCAACGGCAAATTTTTAGAGAAAATAGTTGTTACCATTCTCTCTAAAAATTTGCCGTTGCTCACATGTTCAATCCGTGGTATTCTCAACATCCTTCTGCAGAAGCACATTTCTGTTGCTTCTACATCTGTGAAGAGATTGTCCAATATTCACTGTCATCTAAAGGACACTTTAACGTAGCCTATAAAAAAGACTGTCGAAATTTCTAGCCTACATAATGAAGGAAGACGGCTTAGAAAATTTGACACACACAGGGCATATTAAATGGAAGATGGACAAAGAAAAACAGCGCATAACCTACGTAACGAGCTTATGTAAATTTTTAGCAGACAGGGTTTAAGAGATGTACCAAAAAGATAAGCTTTACTAAGGGTTATAAAGGACGCAAGCTGTGGAGAGCCATTGTAACCCACGTCATGAAAGGACACGGCACATAAGATAAGAAGTTTTCATTTGTCCGTTTCATCCACTGAACAATAGTTCATTTTCTGCAACTACCTGATCCAGATTGCCGGAAAACAATTCTTTAACCTGCGTTTTCGTCCTCTCAACCATGTGACTTGCAATATAGAGCCTTAAGCCTAATGATTTGTCTCAGGTGTTGGAATGTTTCAGTGCCCTTTCTTTTCGTTAATCAAATATAATATAGAGATTAGCGCCAAGTTTTGAAAAAGAGCGGTGTAGTATCTGTGTGTTCTAGTGAGCCTACAGATCTATCAGAGAGATGAGATTTAAATTTTTATCATTTCATTATTCCAAAATTTGAACACCTCAGCAGATACCTATTAATGTCAAACAGCTGAGCACAAATAGTTATGAATTAAAAAATAGTAATTAATATATAATATAATCCTACATGTACAATAATGTTTTTTTTGATAAAAAATTAAAAATTAGCCATAAACACGTAAAAAATGCGTATGTTGTCAAAATTCCTTTTCCTCAAGTTATTTGTGCTATGTTATAATGCTTATTACCTAAACAATAATAATACTGAATATTTTTTGAAACATTAAAGTATATTTAATCACATCTTTTTCATAGTTGTCGCGATCTGTTAGCATTTATATGTCAGTTTTAACATACCATTCATGCAGCACAGCACTAATGCGGTCGATATATCTCTTATACCCAATTCAGTCGTTAGGACTGGCAAGATTCCCCTTTGTTTATTAAACTTCACCAAGACCAAAGAGCCACTCAAGGTAGAAGTTTACTGAATGGAATTTGTGATATAAACGTTAGAGGGAGAAGTAGGAAGTGAAAATTCCGAGCATATGGCGGATAGCTAATGGTTGACTTTAAAGCTGAAGTTAAGATTGTAGTGTTGGATGAGCATCCACGCAGGAGTTTGTTCCCCGGAGAGAAACTTTCGGAGCTTCTTACCTATGAAATAAATAGTGAATGAGAGTGATTCAGTTCTATGGACGTAGAAAAGTTGGTCTTGGCTGTAATGATCTGAGTTTGTGGCACTAAAGAATGGAACACGTCTGAACATTTTCCATGGAAGTAGCGATAGAGTAACGATAAGCTTGCGACATTGCAACTACGAAGAAAGGGGCTGTAGGGTGGGAAATGTCATTTTTGCAGATGACAATTATTGCCTTGATGATTATCAGCTTACTGAAGGGGACCTCACAAGAACCATGTCAAACGACTCTGACAAAGTGGGTCAAGAGTAGAACAAAACTCTGGGTTCTTGATAAATTACATTTTTCGAAAAGATGTCAAGACAAGGAATGCTGTTCCCTATAAGACTGTGGTTCGTAGAAGCAACAAATGACGATATCAACAGAGAGTAGATTGAGACAGCTCGCCGCGACGCGAAAAGGAATATACGCCCGTTAGACTGTTCACCCATTCACCTCCGCCTTGGATCTGCCTCGCTTATCTACAGAGGAAGCTTTACACCAGAATAAAATTTGCTTACTGCTAAAATCGGCTCATGGATAACGGTTTGGTCAAGGAGTTATTTTTTAGGTCTCAGGCATTTGACTGGAAGAAACTGCACCCTTAGAACGGCCGTGGTGTCTGGTCTGAGCTGCAATGCTACATGAAAAAATAATTTGAACTAAGAAGCTGTAACAATCGTTATGATTACTACGTTCGAGTTACACATAAAGCAGGGATCAGTGATAGACATTTTGACATTAGATGTTTGTGAGATAATCTAAATTCATGGATGCAAGATAGCAATGAATCGTTGCGAACGATCAAGCAACACATTCGCAGAATTAGCTCTGAAAGAGGAACATTTTTGCATGACGACGATGTAAATGTTGCACTGCATTCAACAAACGTCAGTATTCGCTTCACTATTGGAGGCACGGTGGAGTAATGGATAGCGGCTCGGATTGAGAAATCGGAGAGCCGAGTTCGAATTGCAATCGAATCCATTACATTCACTTAACGTGCTATTACCTTTGGAAAAGGTATTAATCCTCTTCTTCTCCCACCAGCTATGGGTAAATAGCCGGAAAGACCTTGGATGGCAACTGGTCTACCGTAGAAAGAAATGGCAACCTACTTCGGGAAAAATCTGCCTCGTCATTCATTTATCAAAAGATATATGATCGCCTAAGCATGGCACATAACTGATTGACTACCTTATTTACTGCACCCTTAGAACGACCCTGGTGTCTTTGTCTGAGCTGCAATACTACATGAAAAAAATAATTTGAACTAAGAAGCTATAACAATCGTTACTACGTTCGAGTTACACATCAAACAGGGATCAGTGATAGATATTTTGACATTAGATGTTTGTGAGATAATCCAAATTTATGGATGCAAGATAGCAATGAATCTTTGCGAACAATCAAGCAACACATTCTCAGTTTTCTCGTTTGAACAGTTCCGATTTGGTATTTTCGGATTTGTGGCGATTCCCGAAATTAAAATGGACTTTGAAAAACGAACTTTTTTTTTAAAAATCAGATATTGAGGTTGATACGCGCAATTTAATCAAAAGTTAAACTAGAAAGTTTCTTCATAGACGAAATGACAATAACTGGCAGAACGGTTGCTAAAAGTTATAAAATTGTGACAATGTTGAAAAATAAAATTGCAATTTAAAAAGAAATTTACATTTTCATAATAACTGTTCCAATATTCTGTCTGATCTAAAAGCTTTTTTGTAAGACTGCAAACCTTATTTTTCGATCAACACTAGCTACGATTCAAATTATTCATAGCAGGTTTGTTTCTTGCGGATGTCCGCATAAACTTAAACTTGAAAGTGATTCCGAACATAATCACATATTTATTGAGCCTTTAAACTACTATCAAACCCAAGAATAAGTATAAAGAATTTTTTTATCTCGTAACCCGTAGAGGCAACATATAGCCACAGTAGAAGTGGTGTTTCTTGCGCAAGAGAACCTGACGGAGCCCAACACTCTCCAAGCAAGTTTTGAATTTTTTCCTTCTCCTAGAGGCTATAGAACCCAGTCTATCCATAGCTGGGAGGAGAAGAAGAGGATTCATACCTTTCCCAAGCACGTAAGTGAATGTTATGGATACGACTGGAAATCGAACTCGGCTCTCCTATTCCTCAATTCGAGCCGCTATCCATTACTCCACCGTGCCTCCCTTTGGAATAAAGAATATATTCTTGTAATTTTGCGATCCTTTCAGTAAATACCATATCCTTTTAGAACATGGCTGATTATGGGTCTCCCAAGTTTTCCGTATTTTGTTGTTTTAAGTAAACCCTGCTTCTTCACAACTCTTTGACTTTGTGGTACTTTCTTCTGCATCCGTATACATGGCAATTAGGTTATACTGTAGTTGTTATGCCTTTAAGGGGGGGGGTTTAAATTCCCCAAATCTTCCTTTCCCATTAACTATACCCAAAATTTCAGTTGTATTTGTCTGACAGCAAGCAACAAATTCCTTTGTATTTCTTGTTCTAGAACTTAATTTGTCACATGCTCGGTCTATAGTATTCTGAAAATTCATCGGTCGAACCACATTTCTGTCGCTTCAAGTTTCTTCTTCATCTGTGAGGAATTGTTGAGCATTTACTGCCATATTAGAGATTGGATGCTTCATAGCGGTTCAGCTAGATATATTTTCCTATTTTTAATACTTTGTTTGGTTTTGTCAGACATCTTAGGCTATTCCTATGCAACTGCGAATGTCTGACACATATTCCGTCATTTTTACTGCACTACTCAAGGAGTTAAATGTCTGTTTCAGTTTGATTTTGATGTCCTAAATAAATAGTTCACAATGTGGTCTGTCTCTTTTCTTCAATCTTTCTCATCTGTGAGATATTTCAGTATTCGCTTCACTATTGGAGGCACGGTGGAGTAATGGATAGTGGCTCGGATTGAGAAATCGGAGAGCTGAGTTCGAATTGCAGTCGAATCCATTACATTCACTTAACGTGCTATTACCTTTGGGGAAAGTATTGAACCTCTTCTCCCACCAGCTATGGGTAAATAGCCGGATAGACCTTGGATGGCAACTGGTCTACCGTAGAAAGAAATGGCAACCTACTGCGGGAAAAAATCTGCCTCGTCATTCATGTATCAAAAGATATATGATCGCTTTGTCGCCATATTTACTACAACGTTTTGGTCGTTGTACGCTCCGGTCTTCTTCAGATGGTTGGAATGTCGATCTTAACCTTTTATTTCGCTCACGGGGGTAGACTGTTCTATTTCTACGTGCCATGTTTAATGGATGTTAGTTATCGTTTATCTCCTGTTAATTTCTCTCTGAAAGTTCTCCACTGCCATAACCGGGTATTGAACTCACACTCTTTGGGTCCTGTCACTGGATCTAACCAACGTCTTTATCCACTGTGCCATGGGTCCTTGAGGACATCTGAGTACTATAAACCTAATGTCTTCAGAAACAATTTTTGCTGTTATCATTGCATTTTTTACCAGAGCTCATATTGTAACTTTTGTTGGTATTATCGCTTTTCTCTGGCGCTCCTTATTACTAGATCCCATATTGTATTCATTTCTATGCTTGGTCGGCTTAGGAGATTTTTGTGGCCTTGCATATGTGCTGCTTCCTTAAGTTTACGAATTTTCCAATGGTGTTCCTTGTCTATGATCTCAACCTGATCCCACCATATACATTTTTAGAGATTAGATAGCAGGCAAGCATTATTTTCCTTGTTTCGTTCACTTAATACTTTCCTTAGATTCGGAAAGGCATATTTCCGTTGCGCTTTCATATTTTTATGTTACACTTACCGTTGTCTGTTACTACACTACCGAGATAACTTCCTTCAACTGAATGACTTTTTACATTCTCAATGCGTAACTAACACATTGGATTGCCCCCTTTGCTAACAACCATATATTTTGTCATCTTACAGTTAATGGTGAATCGTTTTTTTCTGTTTTTTCCATTAACACAATGATTTCGCTGCATCTGTTGTTCTGCTCACCGCTAACATAACATTGCGATACACAGTGACGATCAAAGTCACAACCCGATTGAATTGTCTGCAAAGACAACTTTGAAAACCATTGTAGGCGACCCTGCTACATTAATCTAAATAACTCTAACACGGCGGAGTAATATTTAAAATACTAAAATATAAAAATATATCTTATTGGGTCAACATAAAGTCAGCCAGATGGACATATCATAGTGCCAAGTCGTTTAACAGAGACCAAAAGCTGATAGCATAAAGCTAAAAAGAATTTGAGATGTGATAAAGTATTAAGAAAATAAACAGATACCGTTAAGAATATAATATGAGGAAACGAAAGATTTTAAGGCGATTTGCCAAAAGCGAACAGCGACACTTAATCAGTCACTTCAGTTTTCTGTGATAAGAGTTGAATAATCAATTATGGAAACAATCAAAGAATTATCGTCAAAGAGCAGGTTTCTTTTGTATTTGGAGATGGCGGGGCGGTCGGCTTGTGATTATTGTTATTATTGGGTCTCCGTCAAATTAAAGATAACGAATTTATATCTGTTACCAAACGAGATGTGCATTGTAGATGTAATTATCAGTTACTTTGTGATTGATTGGTCTATTTCGGGGGCTAGTTTGAAAAATCATATACTTTAATATCTATCTCTATGTTTAAATCTACGCCAGTATCTATCTATCTATCTATCTATCTATCTATCTCTCTCTCTCTCTCTCTCTCTATATATATATATATATATATATATATATAAATACACACACACATATATATATATATGTATAAATACACACACACATATATATATATCTATATATGTATATATATATATATATATATATATATATATCGCATGACAGTTTATATCTATCTATCTATCTATCTATCTATCTATCTATCTATCTATATCTATAGCTCTATATATTGAAATCTATCTATCTATCTCAGTCAGTTCATTTATATCTCCAAGTCTGTTCATATCTATCTATATATATATATATATAAATACACACACACACACACATATATATATATATATATCCCATGGCAGTTTATATCTATCTATCTATCTCATTTATATCTCCTAGTCTGTTTATATCTCTTTCTCTCTCTCGCTCTCTCTCTCTGTATATATATATATATATATATATATATATATATATATATATATATATATATACACACACACACACACACACACACACATATATATATATATATATATATCCCATGACAGTTTATATCTATCTATAGTGATTTTCTAAGCGTAGCTTAGATGTGGCACAAGGCCGAAATTAGGGGGCACCCATTGAGAATCGAACTCACTACTCAGCCGTAATTGTTCTAGCGAGACAGACTTGCTAACCATTACACCACCCCGAGGTGCCCCTATCTATATATATATCCCTCTCTCTCTCTCTCTCTCTCTCTCTCTCTCTATATATATATATATATATATATATATATATATATATATATATATATATATATATATATATATATATATATATCCCAAGATAGTTTATATCTATCTATCTATCTCAGTTGATATCTTTCAATCTGTTCATATCCAGATAGCGAGCTATATCGAAAGAATAAATGTAAATTACGCCCACCTACCTACTTACCTACCTACCTACGTATATATCGAATGAATCTACTCTCAAAGACAATGTTCTAATAATAAAAGACCTAATAAAGATCTAAATTAGGGCATGAAAATCTCGTTCACTTTGTGCAGTTATTAATCACATTTAGATCTATCTATCTATCTATCTATCTATCTATCTATCTATCTATCTATCTCAGTCTCTTCATATGTATGTATGCATGTATGTATGCTTGTATGTATGTATATATCTATCTCAGTCTGTTCATATATATCTCCCAGTCTGTTCATATCTCTCTCTCTCTCTCTTCTCTCTCTCTCTCTCTCTCTCTCTCTCTATCTATCTATCTATCTATCTATCTATCTAATTAACCCAGGTGTTTTAATAGGAATTGGAGACTTAATTTCCAATTATCTACACGTCATCGCCCGGTATATTTCGCTCAATTAATCTCAAGCGAAAGCCTTCCACCTTTGTTCGCTTTCCGCAAGGTAATTAGTCTGCAATATCAATCTTCATTCTCGTCACCATTGCATTAGTCGATGGTTAAGTCCTTGTCAGGTGTTTGAAAAGCGAATAGAAAGCCGAGGATTCAGAATGCTCGTAAGTAAGGGTGGATATCAGTTAACCAAACCGATTTCAAAATAAAGAAAAGAAAACTTATAAAACAGTATTCCAATATAACTGATGCCAAGAGACCAATATAGGCAGATATTTACTAAAGACTCTAATAGTGAAAGAGCCAATGAACTCCAAACTTAGTCAGGCTGCCTTAAAACTCCCCTCTTACTTCCATGTCCCTTCAATGACATTCTGAACATTGATCTGTAGAACCAGATCTCTTTTGCCTCAAATCTCCTCGGTATCCGCGTGAAAATTACCCAGCATTGACTGTCATATATATGCATATATACAATGCTGGAAATAAGTATAAGACACCCCTTGAAATTGTTAATAATTTTCTTATTACTGCACAAATTCCTCTGAAAATATGTGTGTGGTACCTAGATCCAATGGTTATTAGAATATACATATTCGATTTTATAACAAATTTCCACCAAAAAAAGTTATTAACAAAACTTCGTTTTCGAGGGTGGAAATAATTATAAGACAGTTTTGAAAATTTGCATATCTGGTTTACTTCCGAATGGCAAAGGAAGAATAAGTGCATGCGCAGATTATAAAAAGACTCTTATCGTGATTTTAAGCCAGGCGAGTCCTATTTAAATATTTCATAATTGAATACAGTTACTGCAAAATGCCTAGGAACTCCCTCCTTAATTAAAATGAAAAAGAGGCAAATTTCTGCCTATAAAATATATGTTTCATTGCAAGAGAACTGTCGAAGTCCCGAACAGTTGTGAGAAATTATCTAAAGGACCCTGAATCGTATGGAACCAGAAAATGTCCAGGTCGTCCACCTAAAATTACAAATGCAGCCATACGTCGGCCTTTTTTGAGAAGCTTCTAAAGGACAATCAAGCTCAAGAAATCTGCAAAAAGAGTTAGTCAACTGCTCCATGAATAGCCAAATCTCGTTTATTGAAACGGGAAGACAGCCCCTGCTTTAACTGCTAAACACAAGAAGATTTGCGTAGATTGGGTAAAGAAAAAGTAACATGGACAAAGGAGACATGCGAAACTGTGGTGTTTTCTGATGAGAAAAAGTTTCATTTGGATGGGCTCGACGGCTACCAAGTGTTATTGGGATTATTTAAATTAGGAGAAGCAGCGGTTTTCAAAAAGATCATTTGAAGGAGGATCTGTTATGGTTTGGGCAGCTTTTTCTGCGTTTGGAAAGGCTGATTTAGTAGTGATGGAAGGGAAACAAAACTCGATATATCAATGTATTGAAAAAAAAGTCTTGTCTCATTTATGAAATGTCTAGACACCAATAATGCCATTTTCAACAGAGAAACGCAAACATGCATATTTCTAAGCTCACGAAAAAGTGGTTTAAAAAATAGTGGAGTTTTGGACTGGCCACGAAGTCTCCAGATTTAAACCCAATAGAAATTTTCTGGGGAATTTTGTCAAGAAGCTACCCAGCTGTGGACCATTTGTTACTCGGCCGTTGACCATTTTGTACCGGAGAGTGGACCATGTGCTAGCAGGCCGTGGATAATTTGCTACCAGGCCTTGGGCAATTTTCTAAATGGTTGTGGGCCATATACTACCGAGATTGATACCATTTGCTACAGGGCCGTTGACCCATTTGCTACAGGGCCGTTGACCCATTTGCTACAGGGCCGTTTGCCATGAGCTACCGGGCCGTGGGCCATTTCTTATACAGACGTTGACACATTTTCTACCAAGCCATGGAACATTTGTTAACATGGTTGCTATAGGACCTTGGACTACGTGCTACCATTTCCTACCAGGTGTAGGACAATTTGCCACAGGCCATGGTCCATATACTGCCGTGGTGACAACATTTGCTACATGGTCATTGACCCATTTGTTACGGGACCGTGGACCATGTATAATCGGCCGTGAATCCTGAGCTACTGGGACGATGACCATTTGTAACCAGGGCTTTGGCTATGTGCTATAAGGCCGTGTGCTATTTACTATCGGGATTAGGTACAGGGACATTAACTATGTGCTACCGGGATTATGACTGTTTGTTACAGAGTCGTTAACCATGTGCCACCGGCCTGTGAACCATCTGCAACCATTTTGTATTGGACTATGGACTATGTGTTAAAAGGGCGTTGACTAGGTTTCACCAGACTGTAGAGCATGTGCCTCCGTGCTGTGGATCATGTGCTACTGAGCAATGGATTATTTTTTACCAGGACGTTATATATTTGCGACCGGGCCGAGGACCATATGCTACCAGAACATGGAATATATACTACCAGGTATGGTAACATTTGCTACATGTCCATTGATCCATTTTCTCTCGGGTCGTGCGACTGGAACGTTGAACATTTGTGACCGAGGTTGGACCATTTGGTACAGGACCGAGGACAATGTGGTACCGGTTCGTGGGTCATTTCCTACCAGACCTAGGGCACTTTACTACAGGGCCGTGTTTTATATACTCCTGGGGAGGCAACATTTGCTCCAGGGCCGTTGACCCATTTGCTACCGTGTCGAGCACGATGTGCTACCGGGCCGTGTATCATGTACACTCAGGCCGTAGACTATGTGCTACCAGGATGATGACCATTTTTACGAGGGCTTGGGCTATTTGCTACAAGGGCATGGGCCATATTCTATTAGGCTTTGTACCGTTTGGTACAGTGACGTAGACCATATGCTACCCATCGTAAACCGGTTGGTACGGGTTCCTCGACCATGTGGTATCAGGGTGTGAACCGTGCATTGCCGCGCCATGGATCATTTGCTATCAGGGTGTAGCTCATTTGTTACAGACCCCAGCGCCAAATACTTCGTAACTTTGCACCGTTTTGTAAAGTGCCGTTGACCCATATGCTACCGGGTGTTGGACCGTGTGCTACCTAGCCGTTGACCATTTACTTCCTGACTTTGCTCGTTTGGTACAGGGCCGTTATCCATTTTCTACCAGACCGTGCATCATTAACTCTAAGGTCGTTAACCATTTGGGAAATTTGCTACAGGCACTTGGACCATTGTTTTAGTGGAACACACCTATGCTATAGTTAATAGACTCTCTTAATAGTATCAGCAACCTCAACTGGTTCGGTCAGTCAGTCTGCACGACCGTTAGTCGGATATTAAGTATCAGCAACCACAACTAGATTTCTCTGCGTCATTACCTATTATATCAAGTTCCTAACGTTTTGTACGTCGAACCTATTTTAGGACCGACTTAGTACAAATACAAGCCTCCACTGTAAAACCACTCCATAACAAACATATACAACTGCTTTTGTACAGTCTAGTACTGGGCCATTGACCATTTACTTCCTGACTTTGCTCGTTTGGGACAGGAACGTTATCCATTTTCTCCCAGACCGTGCATCATTAACTGTAAGGTCGTTAACCATTTGGGCAATTTGCTACAGGGACATGGACCATATACAATTGCTTTTGTACCGTCTTGTACCATTTGTTACAGGGCCTTTGATCAATTTGCTACCGGGACGTGTACTATGTGCTACCAGGCCATTGTCAATTTTGAACCGGACCGTGGAGCATGTGTTACCAGTTCTTGTGCTATTTTCTCCAGGGCTTTGAACCTTATACTTCCGGGTTTGGTATAATTTGTTACAGGGTTGATGCCCCTTTGCTACCCCCTCTCTCTCTCTCTCTCTCTCTCTATATATATATATATATATATATATATATATATATATATATATATATATATTATAGATTCGAATATCTGGGTATCAGCGTGTCACACTTTTTCAACTTTACTCCTAGAGGCTGTAGCCCAACATATAACATTTTAGAATCTGACCATCTTCGTGAGCAAATTAAAAACATTCCCGGTCGGATCCGGACACGCAATGCCGAAATTTTGGATTTCCACTAGTGCAATTGTTTTCGGATTCCGCCATCTTGGCTTCTACTGATAAAAACAATTAAAGGGACATAACTCTCTAACTTTCAATAGTTCATGCTCAAATAAAAAAAATACTGTTCTAAAGAGTACAGAGTTTCAAAATAAAATTGCCCGTGTTTTCAGCTTTACTCCTAGTGGCAGTAGCCCAACATATCATATCATTTTGGAATCAGGCCGACTCAGTGAGCAAATTAAAAACATTATCGGGACCCGCAATCCTGAAATTTTGGATTCCCAATTCTTTGCGATTGTTTTCAGTGATTTATTACGTAATTTTTTACGTGGGTCTTTTCGACGAATTTTTTTTTCTCTCGGAAATAAATTTTGAAATAATAGAAATTAATTGCGAAATCCAGCCATGAAATAAAAATAATTGTTTGTACGGAAAGTAAGGACCTACGTATATCAAACTTACTTTTAATTAAATGGCGGCAGAATTATCGTTGAACTTTTAAAAGGTAAGATTAAATATTAATGCAATACTTAAATGCAGGGACCAATTTTGAGTTTTTCTACTTATTGTGTTGAAGGCCCAATCAAGAACCCTACGCAGAAGCTAGCTTAAATGCCAACCGATAGGGCGTCTTTTAAGCTAGTTAAAAATAAATTTACATTTTTCTTCACTGGTAGTACAAGTCTGAGGGACCTGAAGATTGCGTTATGCTACCGTTGACGAAAAATATATATTTATTATTAATATATAATTTATAGATGTTATTTTAGATCAAGCACTATTTTATTAACACCAGTACTCAATGTACGATATTATATATATATATATATATATATATATACACACAATATATATATTTATATATGCACGCGTATGTGATTTAACATTTGTGAACACTTACGTATGTATACAGCTT